TTTGTGTGTGTGTGTGTGTGTGTGTGTGTGTGTGTGTGTGTGTGTGTGTGTGCAAAAATGAGTGTAATTTTAACATCCACACTAAAGTGTAAGCTCTGTCAAGGCAGGGCCTCTCTCATTCACCTTTGCAGCCTGAAGACCTAGCATTACGCCTGCTTCAAATCAAGCCTCCATATATATCTCCCAGATGAAACGTCTGGGAGTTTAAATGCTCAGTGCTTACACAGTCTTTTCATTCTGACAGTTTACAGGTAGGTGATGGCTCTCATGGATCCTCTTAAAGGGATCCAACAAGCCAGTGTTCATGAAGTAATGCTTTCCCAGCTTGCCTGGGAAATGCCCACAGAACAGCTTCACATTAACTTCTTTCCTAAATAACATAAGACTCGCTGCTTGCAGTGTGTGAAGTTTGACAACAATCCTGTTTCTCTGAATGGATAAAGTCAACCCTGTCCTTGATTTATATGGTATAGATGAGGAAGTACACAGTAGGCTTGATAATACTAAGGACTCCACTATGGACAGCTGACTCTTTGTCTTCTCTCTCAGTTTGAGTTTGAATCGCATCTATCTTGAGTTACTGTATTTATTCTCCATGATTCGCATTGGGTTCAAGATATACACATCCTAGTCTTTTGGATTTGGGATGAGAGAGCCAGAGTCTTATTCAAAACCATGGACATGGTTCCCTGATGACCTCAAAGTCTCAGGACCCAAGGCTGGCTAGCCTGAGTCACATTTATTATTATAAATTATATCCTTTTGGTCTATCAAATTCACAGTCCTTCAGCTGCAACAGAAATCTAGTATTTGTGTTGGAAATTGGGAAGAAGAAAGTATCGAAAGGGGTTATTTACTTCTGATGAGCTACCATTTGTTGCTTAGACACAATGCAAAGTCAAGACTCAATCTGTAGCAAGACCCCAAAGTATGCTCCTAGAGGAGCAAGGAGGATGAATGCCAGGTAAAGCTTTGCTTGGCTGAGCTGGACACTGGGCTAGGCACTCCCTGCAGAGGCAAAGAGCACAGCACATCCTCCTGGCTCTATGAGCCTGCCTTTTCCAGGGAGGCTGAGAGAGGTACAGTTATTTCTCATACTCTAGGATAACTGCTTAGGGCTGATGCATTAAATCTGCCTCAACAAAAGCATGAAATAGGAAGCAATAAATGTGTTGTGGGAGGCTAAGGGAAGTTTTATAGAGGAAGTTAAGAACTGGGCTTCACTGTGAAGAACGCAAACATTTTCAGCAGGGAAAAAAATGGAAGACACATTTTTAGGTAGGAAAAAATTGTGTGGGTTAAACTCAGAAATAGGAAAAGCCCAAGGTTTTTTCAGTAATGAGTATGTTGACCGGTGTGGCTGGAATGAAGGGCATCGGGTGTGGGAGTAAAAGATGAGATCAGAGAAAATGATCAAGGCTGGACCACACAGGGCCTTGGGTGTGCCGTAAAGTATGGAATTTATCTTATACAAAATAAAGAAGCATCAGGCTTCTTACAAAACATAATCAAACAAAAAAGATCTTAAAAAGGAGTTCATTACAGAAAGACTGGCTTATGGGGCATAGACAGGTGCCTAAGGCCATGGGTGCAGAGTGGGCTTCCCAATGTTAGGAGATGACCTAGCAAACAAAACACCTCTATAAGATATAACACAATGTTAGGAGATGACCTAGCAAACAAAACACCTCTATAAGATATAGCACAATGTTAGGAGATGACCTAGCAAACAAAACACTTCTATAAGATGTAACACAAGGGAACTCCCACCATTCTTGCTCCATGTGTTTGAAGATGTTTCTGTGTAGTAAAATTCTAGACTACAATCCTGCAGCCACCGTGAAACTCCTAGTTTAAAACATACTATTTTGGACATATTAGAACAGTATCATAATAAAAGGCATTCCAGTGGGAAAAGAAGAAGTCAAACAGCCTTTCTGAGGGTGATGAAATCTTACACTAGCATGAACATATGCACACTGTCAGAGAAGACAAACAAAAGCAGCAAAGTTGTAGGCGACAGGCCCAAGACAATGAGATTAAGTTGCATTTGTATACAAAATACTGAACAGTTGGTTGAGGAAATTAGAAAAACGATTCCATTAGCAAAACTCAGGGATAGACATAATCAAAAATGCAAAGCTTACAACACATTGAAAACTGAAAAATATTCCCTAAAGAAACTAAATGAATGGGACGATGTCCCATGTGCATGGGTTAGAAGACTTTGTGTCGTTCAGATGACAGTACTACACAAGGGTCCTCACAGATTTGGTGGCATTTTCACCAGAATCTCAACGGCAACTTTTTCAGAAATAGAAAAATCCACCCTAAAAATTATATGGAATCTCAAGGGACCTCAAATCTTTAAAACAATGTTTAATAAGGGACTGGAAAGATGACTTGGGCTTAAGAGAGCTTTCAGCTCTTGCAGATGAGCCAAACTCCATTCCTGACACCACGTCAGGTGGTTCACAACTGCCTGCAACTCCAGTTCCGGGGATCCAGCTCCCTCACCTGGCCTTGGTGGGTACTGCATGCACATGTGCATATGCTCACACATCATTAAAAAAAATAAAAATAAATAGTTTCAACGGGGTAAATAAAATTGAAAGAATCCCATTTTACAACCTCAAAATTTATTGCAAAGCTACAGTAATAAAAACAGTAAGATCCTAGTAAAAGAGCAGATCATACACGAGACAGACAGCCCACACAAAGATGGTCACAATTTTCAAAAGCGATGTCAACATCTTTAATGGTAAAATGACAGAGTTCTTGGAAAAATGGATGTCCACAAACAGATGAGTTTTTAACTCATGACAAGTCAAAAACTCAAGCTCTAAAACCTACAAAACCACCAGCAGAAAAAACGGGGGGGGGGGGGGGGGGGGGGTTAACCATCATCGCCACCACATTGCTTCTACAATGACTGCATGGATGTGACACCCAAAATGTGAGCAACTGGGGAAAAGATTATAACCAAATTCCAAAGTTAAAAACACCAGTATCAAAAAATACCATCAACACAGTGAAAAGCAACCCATGGGAGAAAATAGTTAAAAATCATATATCTGAAACAGTGTTAATACTTTGAATATATTTTTTTTAAATGCCAGAGAACCCGTAATGGCAGAGGGATGTTTTCTTGGTTGTTGTTTTTAAAAACAAACAAATAACAACAAAAAAGGTCATGAGTGCAGAGGAATAAACATTTCCCCTCAAAGACACAAATGGCCAATAAGCACAGGGAAAGACACTCAACATTTATAACTGTTAGGGAAATGAAAACCAGAAACACAAATGCATTTCATGGAAAACACATTTCACGGCAATTATCAAGAAATTAGAAAAAAAGTGTTGGTGAGAAAGAAAACTTGGAACCCCTGGACACTGCAGACAGTAGTGTATCATGGTTCCGTTACTGTGAAACACATACTGAAGTTGTCAGAAAGTTAAACGCAGTTATTGAGAATTTAACCATATCTTTAACTCCACAGAACTGAAAGCAGATGCGGTAGCCTAATGTTTTTATCAACACTGTTCACAATAGCTAAAGGGTGGGGATGACCCAATTGTCTATCAACAGAAGAATGGGTAAACTAAACACAGCGTAACATACCGTGGTAGAACAGCATATATCTGTGGTGCTGAGATCACACAGATACAGGATGAACAAACACAAACATGGAGCGGTTCCACTTCTAAGAGACACAAAGCACAGTGGTGGTTGCCAGGGCCTGGGAGTGGAAGCAACGATTGCTCAATGGCTGAAATTTCTGTGTGGGAAGATATGAAGCCTCTGGAAGTGGATCATGGTCCACAATATGAACATACTCACTAAAGCTGAACTGAACACTAAAAGATGGTTCATGTGCTAGCACTGTTTGCTATGCATACTGAAACATGATTTAAAAATGAAATCCAAGAAAGCCGACCTGGGATTCTGACTTAGCCGAGACACCACCAGGTAAAGACGTCTATGGAAAGAGACCTTAGGAAGAAATGCAAAGGTTGAACCAGCTCAGGCCTGACCCTCATCAGCACAGGCGGTCAAGATGCTCAGGAACATGGACTCACATTGCAGGTGGATGAGCCATCCAGTGTCGGATAGGAGCCATCGGGCCAGTCCGCAGGGTCCAATGCAGCTGACTGCCGGTGCTGGGCCTCATATTCCTTCAGCTGCAGCAAGAACAAAACAAAAGAAATAACACATGAAATAATGGCCATGTACTGCCTACCGCACAGCAGAAATCACTTATAACTTCTCCATGTTAATTGTGACTAGGTGACCCATGACCATCCAAAGCTACACCTTCTAGAAGCACAAGAAGAAAATATGAAAACTTGCCTACAGGTTTTAAATCAGACCAATAGACACAGCAGGCTTGGTATGCTGTTCCAAAAGAAACCTTGATTTCCACACAACCATCCTCACAGCATCAAAACTCACCTTCCCTGGGTGTAATCAAGTTTGAAACCAGGAACTTTCTACAGTCTAGTTCTGCATATATAGATCCAAAAGCATGTAGAGGAGATCAGAGATATCTGAATCACAGAGGGGGAATGCCTGGAACCAATTTTTAGAAATGTCAGAGCAGAGCTGGGGATGTAGCTCAAATAGTAGAGTGTTTGCCTAGCATGCACAGTCCCGGGGTTCAATCCCCAGGATCACACAAGCTGTGTGTGGAGGTGTGTGCCTGTCATCCCAGCATAGTTAGGTAGAGGCACCCAGGGGGCCTTGACTTTATCATTCAAGGCTGGGGCATTCTACCCGTCAATTTTATCACATAGCAAATATAAGTTGGTTTACTAGGGACCCTGAACACGGGGAGGGAATAACTAAGACAATAAAACCTTCAGAGCTGCTGAAAGTGTAAGCTTAGAAACTCAGGGCTTTGGTTTTAACGAAAAACAAAATAAATACAGAAAGGAAATGAAATATTCTAGAAAAAGGGAGCAAATATAGCAAGACCAAATAGATGCTCTTTCAGAATGCTGTGTGCGAGGCGGTCCACAGAGGTTTGCAAATGGCACAAAGGGGTCACAATCGACTACTTCAGAAACCTAAGCTGTCACTGCATTGAGACACCATTGAAATGTAGGCTTCAGATCCAATTTAAGAGTTGACCATACTATGTTCCATGAAGCAAGCAAGTTAAATACAGAAATAACATGACATCGTGTGATTACCAGCGCTGTGGGATATGGCAAAGTCATCACCCAAAACACAAGTTTCCTGGTGTTACTGAAAACTAGGAATGTCTCTGTTACATATATTATGTGGGAGGAGGTAGGAGCACTGACTAGAGAGTAAAGACCTAGATAGAGAGACCAAATGCCACTGGTCCTCTGGGATGGGTTAATGAACCCCTCTGTTTCATCCTCTCCTCTGGGACAACAGGGAAGACACTGAATCCATCTCAGAGGCTCGCTACTACAATCAAAGGGATGCAGCAAAGCCAGAAGGAAAGCCCTCAGCACACACCTATGCAACAGTTAGACATATAGCACTGTGACTTCCACCCTTGTGGCTTCAGGTAAACACAGAGCTCACATAAAAAGCCTGAGGATTCTGCTATCACTAGCAATAATCATTTTAATCTTTGACACACTATCAGGTACATATATATACACTATCCTCACATTTATAGTATACTAATATGTGGGACTGATCCTTCCATCTGGATACATGGTTTCTGAAATGCTAAAGTCTCCTTGAATGCTGGGATGAAATGTCAAGTGGAAAGGGATTATTGTGAGACTGTCAGTTTTGTCCAGGTCTCTACTCCATTCTTATACTCAATCTTAGCCTTGACTCTCAGGAGTCACTAAGTAACCTTAAGATTTAACTAAAACAAAAAGCAAATTCCTAGCCGGACAACCATAAGCTGACAAGCCTTTTGATCTGAGGACCTTATTTTTGACTCACACAGATGTAGACCTCTGTGGTCAGATAGGTAAATATGAGAGTTAGTAACTAAGCTATGGTATGGGTATCAGTTTGAGTTTTAAAATTTATATTTTTAAGAAAGTAAGACTGCTACATCAAATGATGAAGCCCTCAAGTTTCCTTTCCAAAGTCAGTCTCAGTCCTTTCCCTTACATGACTCGCTCACTTTTCTTTCTTTCTTTCTTTCTTTCTTTCTTTCTTTCTTTCTTTCTTTCTTTCTCTCTCTCTTTCTTTTTCTTTCCCTCCCTCCCCTCCCTCCCTCCTTCCTTCCTTTCTTCTCCCTCCCTCCCTCCCTTCTGTAATGGTCAGCATTAACTGCCAATTCACAGGATGTAGAATCGTCTGGGATGTGGATTACTGGGCATGTCTGTGGGTGATTATCTTAAATACATTAACAATGTGGAGAGGGGACCAGGAGGGGTGGTTCAATAGTTAAGAGCACTTGTTGGTGGCTCAGAGAGTCCGAGTTTGATTCCTAGCAGACACATCAGGTGTCTTACAACCACATGTAACTCCTGCTCCGGGAGATGAAACTCCATCCTCTGGCTATCATGTACACATGTGACATATACTCACACAGACACATATGCATAAATAATAAAATGGAAATAAAATCTTCTAAAAAGAATAATGTGGGAAGGCCCATCTTAACTATGGGAGCACCTCCTGGGCAGGTGGTCCTGAGCACTATAATTTTCAGAAAGCAAGCTTAAATGTGTGTTCCACTATCCCACAGGCTTGGGTCCCAGAAAAAAAATAAAGTGGAGAAAGTGAGCTAACCAGCATAAATGTTCATGGCTGTCTCATTCCTAGCTATGGATGCAATGTGACTGCTGTGGAATAACCCTTCTGTGTTCTGTGTTGCTCTCATTATTAATAAAGAGTTGATTGGTTGATAGTTAGACAGGATTTTGGGGGCAGAGAGAATGCTGGGAAGAAGGAGGGTAGAGTCTAAGGAGTTGCAAGAGACACAGAGAGAAGCAAGATGAACGTACAGTATTGAAAGAAAGTACTGCTATGGGACAGAGGGTAGATAAGAAATATGGGTTTATTTAAAATGTAAGAGTTAGCTAGTAACAAGCCTGAGCTACTAACTGAGAATTTATAATTAATATTAAGTCTCTCTGTTGGTTATTTGGGAGAGGCTGCCAAGACACAGAGAGATTCTGCCTACATGTGCCCATTCTCCTCAAGCTTCTACTATCACGACCACATCCCCCCACTGGTAGAGTGATGAACTGAACCCTGGAGCTGTGAGCCATTCCCTAAACTAGTTTTGCCAAGTAATTTGGCAAAGTATTGGCAAAACACCAATACAGATGTTTTATTATACAGGGTGGAAAGCTTGCATCCAGCAAATAGAATTCGGTAAGAATCTCATTTAACCAAGTTGATAAAGTGGATACCTGATGACCACTAAAATATCATCACTATATTCCTTTGGGAGTTGAGGATGTAGTTGGTGGTAGAAGCAGTCCAAAACATACATGAGGCCTTGATGCCTGCTAATAGATATATACAGAGGTGTGCATGTGCGTGCGCACCCACCCACCCACACACACCCACACACACCCACACACACACCCACCCACACCCCCCCCACACACACACACACACACTGTAGCTATTAGATTCCTATAGCCTCTGATGGCCCCAAGTATTTTTTTCAGCTGGTGTTCACAGGTGTAAACTACATGCCCACAGTCTTACCCTAGCGAGCGCTTCTTCAATGGTGATCATTTTCTCTTTGACCATCATCATTAGCTGAATCCGCTCCTCATCGCTCATCGTTATCTCACTTGCCACATAGCCCACATCTTCTCCTGGGGATTAAAGACAGATAAATTCGGATGAGAGATGAAGAAGCAGGCCTCTAGCCTGGAAGCCCCCCATCTTGGGTGAGGGAGGGACTTTTCTCAGGTGCACTGTCTACCTTGCATGCTAGGGAGGAAGCAGAGGGATGTAGAACCAAGCTGCTTCCCCGGAAGCCAAAAGCTCATCTGTTTGGGAAGTGTGTTCTAGGAACTTGTGCTAGTTACCACAAAAGCAATTCCTCCAAAATGACCAGAACTTTTGAGACAGGCTTTCTAGACATGGTAAAAATAAATAAATAAATAAATAAATAAATAAATAAATAAAAAGTTGACACGTAATTTTCTTGTTACAGGTGGACCAGGAATCTCATCTAAACACCCAACTTGATGAGACAAGCATTCCGAGGCTTCTATGGGTTGGACATTCTCTGTATTTTACATGTGAAATATGAATGAGAAGAACATACATTTGTGTGAGAGCACCCTCTGCTGTGACAGGAGGTCAGGCCACAGAACCAAGCCTGCTAAGCCTGATTCAACTGTCTTTCCCTACTGAGTTATCTGGTGAATCTCTAAGTTACTGAGTGATCGCACAGAATAAACACATGAATAAGGCCACATGCTAAGCATGTCAACCTCATGAAAGACAGGTACTACAGGTATTTATATCTGAAAGAACTGCAGTCACAGGGTCTGCAGAATGTGAGAGGTAGCCAACATCTGACTTAGAGCTGAAGGCCACCAGAACTACACAGGAAAAGCTTTCTCCCATTGACTCATGCTAAAGCCTTTCCCCACAAAGAAAACACTGCCTGCCATTCCTCTTATTTGAGCTCCGTTGGCCAGTTGTATCTTTGGTCAGCAAGTGGGAAAGGACTCGGGGACAGCAGGCTAACACACACACACCAGGAGGAGGCCACACTGTCAGCCTCGCTCTGTTTCCTCTCCCCCAGCTTCTTCCAACATACTTTGGTGGCTTCTGCCATCACCAGGACCTCAGCCAAGGCTTCATATACTCTTGGTGAGCAGGGACAGACTAAGGAAGCTATCTGAAGGCTCACAGGGAACCTCAGTAGAGGAACCTCGCTTGTGACTTGTGTTCCCCATGCTTCTACACTTTGTTTCCATTTTGTAATCAATCAGTTCAGAGGTGGCCCTCAAGTCCCTGGGGACACTCATCCACTTGTGGAAAAATGGAAGGGTGCACTGGATACAGAAATAGAAGCCTAATGTTTTGATCCATTTTGCTAACTGTGTTGAGTGTCACAGAGCTGGCTGGGTGTTTCACAGTGGCATGTGAAATGGTGAACTGCTGACTCCCTCTCTCCCCCTCTCTCTCTCCCCCTCCCTCCCTCCCTCCCTTCCTCTCTCCCTGTTCCTCCCTCCCTCCTTCTCTCTCTCCCTCCCTCTCTCCCTGACTCTATCACTTATTTTTATTAATGTCTGTATGTCTGTTTCTGTACATATGAATGCCAAATGTGGCTGCTCATAGAGTCCAGAAAAGAACATCAGATTCCTGGGGCTGGAGTTACACACAATGTGAGCTGCCTGACATGTATACTGGGAACCAAACTCTGGTCCTTTGGAAGAGCAGCAAGTGTTCTTAACCCCTGAGCCTTCTCTCCAGCTCTGCCTTCTCTCTTCATGGCTTTCTAAGTGAGACTTTGTCAGAATGTGATGTTTATTTGGAAGCACAAATGATTCTGGGTCTCTACCAAAAGGGAAAGCTGCGCGCATTGAAAAAGTACTCCCTCAAAGTGGGACAACTAAGAAAAATAATCACATGAGAGCTGTCAGAAAAATCAGGTGTGCAGCTGAGGAAGCTAATGCCCAGGGCCAAAAATCTTGTTTCTGGCTGGGAGTAACTGGGGAGACTTCTCCCTGGGAGAGGTCATGTTATTGTGTAAAAGGCAAACAGGCAGTGTCAGTGGTGGACTGTAAAACACGTTCATTTATTGATAACCCCATTCAGTCTGGCATGAATGTGGAAGTAGATGTGGCCTGGTTTCCTCTGTGAATACTGGGGAAACGTAAATTACATAACCCGGCCTCCAGGGATGGACATATTTATTTGCTATCTAAACAAAAACAAAGGCGAGGCCTGGAGAAAGGGCAGAACTCCCTTCACAGAGCAGCTGGGTAAATTCTCATGATGTCAGACCCGCAGAGGGTTTCCAGGGGCAACAACTCCATAACTGTCCCTTGTCACACAGCAAGAAGCTCAGAAGAATGTAAAGGCTCCAAGGGAGGGTATGCACTCAAGGGTCCAAAACTAACAAACTCGAAGATTCCCTTGACCTTCTGAGGTCTGTGCTTGGCGGGCTTGAGAGAAAAGCAGACATGGTCTCTGTTGTCAGAGGACTACCGGTTCCTCCATCTTGTTCTCTTAGAGTTCAAGAACTTCATGGGGTCAAAATCTTGAAGTCGTGGAAGGAATGTTGGAATAGTTGACTATTTTGCAGGCACATGCAATGAGTTATTCCTAATTGTCAAGTCCATTTAAATTGGGGGCCAAGACTTCTGATTATTCTGAAACCACAAGGACCCCATGGTCCGTGGCCCCATCACTGTACCTTTTGAAGTCTGTCTCATTATTCCTTTTTGGTTCTTTCGAAAATTCTGCCAGAAGTACTTATTTTTCTTCTTCCAGTCTCCTTTTCCTTTAAGAAAGAAACAAAGGAAGGAGACAGAGAAAGAGAGAATGAGAAAAGCAGTAAATTCACTGATAACAAAAGTAGTCTCTTGCTTACAATGTCAAAGCTTGAACGAACACTCTGATTTCACAAAAAGACAGTTCTTCAGTTTGTGAAAGACTGTGAAATAGCTATGAAGTTGTTTAAAAGAAATGCAAATTTGCTACTAGGAAAAAAAAAAAAAAAAAAAAAAGGCCTAACAGGGTTAAGAAAAGAAATGCAGGCACATCAAAAGGGCAGGCTGCGCAGCGTTCTTGTCCTCACTTTGATGTTTGTTTAGCCAGTACGCCTCTTTCCGCCTTATACTGTGGTGCATCCCTTTCTCTTTGGTTGCCGCCACAATTATTTCCACTTCACCACAAATAGAAGGCTTGCAGAGGTTCACTTTGTTTTGTTCCTTCTGTTTACCCACCATTGCTTCATTTGTCTTATTCCAAATTTAATGAGGAAAACCAGAAGGCTGTTATGCTCAGCCTGGTTCCTATGGTGTTTGGTGACATGGGTCCATAGCACAGGTAAGAAGCAATCCCTGTCTCTCTAATGTTTAGGCTTCTTGGTGACCAACCTACAGACTGACAAGGTCACAAAGACAAGAAAAAACAGTTCTGTCCTGCTGTGACATCTCCTAACTCAGTCTCTGTCTAATCTCCCACCCAGCTCAGACTAGGACTGGGTGACTCACCAGTAAAAATAAATTTGTCATCGATAGATACTTAAAAAAAAAAAAAAAAGTTAGGGTTTTAGTATCATTGACAATACAAAATACCTTTTAAAATGTAAACAGAGAGGCTGGAAGACAGCTCAGTCATTGAAGAGACTGTTTTATAAACATGAGAAGCCAAGTTCAGCCTCCCAAAACCCATGACAGCAAAGCTAGACATGGCAGTACATAGAGTCCCAGCACAGAACAGGGAGAAACAGGAAGGTCCTTTGTGTCTTATGGGCCAGCCACCCTTGTGATTTGGTATGTTTCAGGCCAATGAGAAACTTTTGTCTCAAATAACAAAGGTGTTGTGCATATGCATGTGCGCGCGCGCACACACACACACACCCACACACATCAAAAATTGTAAAAGGCAAACATAAGGGAGGACAATCAGTGAATGGGAAAAGGCAGTTCTTTATTCTTTAAGAAGAAAAGGCAGTGGCACCATGGCTGTCACTGTGCTGATGTGGCACACCCAGAGCAGTAGCTCTGTCTCCACTTGGTGGCTGTCTGGTTGCCCTGTGGCCACTAGAAACAAGGCCCAGAAAAGCGGCGGCTTCTACAGTCTAGACTGGCGGTGCCAAGCAATGATGCATGGTGTAGCCATGTGGAACTCCATCTCTGGTGCTCCCAAGCTAGCAAGGGTGTCATTTGTCAAAACAGGATGTCCTCGTTTAAATGCTGACAGCCCTAGAGGCCTGGGAATGAAATCCAAGCCCTTCTGCCTTCGACTGCCTAGGTTCTCAGGTCCTCAAGGTTAGTTTCGTGGACTCTGCTGCCTGTGAGTGACCCCAGAAAGCAGATGTCAGGAAGGAAGGGTGAAAGCCAACTGAGTGCCAGTCATTTGACTTCTTAAAGAGGAGTTTGAGGCTATAATGCATTTCTCTTCCTATAAGCTCTATTTCCTTCTTTCTCACATTCCATGCATGAAATGGAGATAATAAAAATAGCTAAATCTGGTCATCACTTACAATACCCAAGCACTTTGCTATTTAACAGCTTAGTTCATTTAAGTCTTGCTCATGCTCCTCCTCCTTCTTTTTAATAGTAACAAGGTCTTACCATGTATCTCAGCTGGCCTTGAACTTACTACCTTCCTGCCTCAGGCTTCCATGTGCTAAGCTCACATTTACATCCTACCATGGCCAGTGCTACTCCTAGGATATGTTCTCATTGTGTTCAGGAGGTGAGAAAAACAAGGCAGGGGAAGGTAGGTGTCCACCCAGGGTTACAATAGCTGGGGTGGCATTCATGATTCAAACCCTGGCAGGCAAACTGGAGAGCCTACCTCGTATCCTTTGTCCTTCGCTACATCAAGGGTAGGTATTATAATCAAGGATATATAATATATATATAATGCCTTGAATGCATATTATTCATCTAAACATTCCAAATTGAAGAGTTTATCTGAGGACATCATCAGAGATGCAAACTGAAGGAATTTTCTGATAGTGACATGTGTTTGTGACAGAAGAAATTATCAGCAATAAATATCCAGCAAAGAGGCTTGATCAATGAGCTTATGGCACATTCGATATGATGCAGAAGTAAACCTCTTAAGGCTAAGAATATTTATCAAGTGAAAAATACTCATAAACTGTCCCATTTTGAAGAGCCATAAAACAGTATGTCAACTATGGTGGTACTTGTATTTTCAAAAGAACAATTCCAAGAAGGAAGGAAGGAAAGAAAGAAAAAAAGAAAGAAAGAAAGAAAGAAAGAAAGAAAGAAAGAAAGAAAGAAAGAAAGAAAGAGCAGCACATCAAATACCAGGGCTGGAGAGACAGCTCGGGCAGTGGAGTGCTTGGTCTTTAGCATGTGGAGCTGAGCTTGGGTCCCCAGCTTGGGTCCCAGCTTGGGTCCCCAGCTTGGGTCCCCCACCCACAATAAAAAGCAGCGCACAGTGGTCTACAACCCTAATGCCAGGGAGGCAGTCAGGCAGGTTTCCGAAGAGTTTGCTGGCCCGCTGGTCTATCAGAACAGGTGGAGTTCCGGGTTCCATGAGAGTCCTCTCAAAAAGTAAGGTGGAAAGTGATTGAGGGATCCTAATGTGGACCTCAGTCTACATGCATATGTGGGTAGACACAAACACACACAGACACACAGTGTTTGCTTACAGTGTTTGTTTCTGAATTGACAGATTTGGGGGCGACAAGATCTATAGCCTTACATGGCTATATATCTATCTTTTATAAACTATTAAAACAATCCAATTAAATATTTAAATCAAGGCAGTGATACTAACCTACACAGCCGTCTTCCGAGTTTGATTTATGAAGAGGGTACCTAGAAAAGAAAACAAAATGTATGCATATTACCAGAGGGCCTTGCTTTTATGGGATTTTCACTGACAATCTTCCTAACCAGTTGGACCCTGGACCAACAGTGCTTACTGGAGCCTGGGGAATTTTTACAACGGGTCTTTTCGTACCTATCTGCTGAATTCCTGGGAAGTGGGTACCATTTGTCAACACTAATTACCGACCCAACTTAGGGCAGGACCTATATTTAAAAAGGAATATGGGCTTCACTAAAGACTGCTGAAGGATGGTTCATGTCTTCGAATTAATCACTAGTTAAGTTCCCACCATCTCGAAGTCTATAGGGTAAGCAGAAAAGAAAAAGTATATCATAAGGAACATATCAGCTCTATAGCACAAAGGCTGCCAGGGAGTTGCAAGGGCAACTGGAGAAAAGATCAGGGTAGGCTGAGGAGGAGACAAATGCCGTCAAAAGGAGACTGAATGCCCAAGCGGAGGGGTCATCATATGGAGCTCCTGCAGTCAGTGATATATACTGGCCTCAACTGGCAAGAGTGATAGTTGGTCTTCCCGGATCTTAATAAGGTTCAAAAATCAAGCCAGAAATCTGTGTTTTCATTTGTATGAGAGCTTCACGTTTTTAAGTCGTGGCAAATTCTTGTTAAAATGGATCCAAGTTAATCACAGTTGATATGCCTGTTTCAGATCCCGCCTGTCAGCGCATGGCAGCTGATCTTGGTGTAAGCCCAAGTAACATGGAATGTGAGGCACAGTCTGAAACCAGCAAGTGAGCTGCTCCTCTAGACAGCTCTCAGATAACCCCACCATGCAGCATGAAGGCAGGGAAAGCAAGGCACAGTGATGTTACAGTAACATCAAGAGGGGCAGGGAGATGAGCAGAGGTCATCATTTGCTGGGGATAACATTCTAGAGAAGAAAGCCGGTGTCCTCAGGCATAGGCATGCCAAAGGGAGAGAAGAGAAAGAGCCTGCACCAGAACAGAAGTTGAGTGTGTAGAGAATTCACACCCAAATATTCTAAGTTCACTGCCAAAAAGGAAGATTAAAAAGGTGCTGGCTAAACACTGTAGCTACGACTATCTGGATGCTTAGAAAGCCAGTTGTGAGGCCAGGTACTGAGAGAGAACACTGAAAACAGTTGGGAGGCGTGTGGAAGGACGTCCAAACACCCAAGAGACCTTGTAGGTAAAGGGACCTCAAGAGTTTAAGGTGCAGAAGTGGGTACAGGGCCCCGGATGAGTGAGCCACTACTTAGGTGTGCAGACATGGATGCTGACTGGCGGCAGATGGGTACCCAGACCCTAAAAGCAACATAATGTCCCTTATCAGAGAGGAGAGAACTACTTCTGACTGGCACGAAGCCCTGAGAGATCTCCATGATAAAGTAAGAAAGGTACTAAAAACAGACAGGAGACACCATTGCAGATGTCAAGAGCTAGGTGAAATACTACTCATTTCCCTTCTTACCACACAGCATGCATGAGTGTGCACACACAAACACATCCACACATACCCACAGTAAGGAAACTCACCTGATCACCAAACCACACCCTTCCAAAGAAAATCTAGAAGCTACTATTTTCCTTCCTCCTACCCACTGCAAAAATAAAAGCTTTAACTCATGTCTACTTGAAAGGCTTTCAAGTGGTGGCCATTTGAAGTCCTATATACATTCGGCCGATCTATATCTAGCAACATTACATGTAAGGGACGAGGGCATAGGTATGAAGAAATGAGTCTATTGTTAGAGAGGAAGTGGATTCAGGACGCATACAGGGACAGAGACATTTTTCAGTTGGTAGAGTGCCTGTCTAGTGTACAAAGGCCTGGGTTTGAGCCCATCACTGCATAACGCTGAAAGGTAGCTGGTGTTCTTTTGTAATGTCAGCACTTGGGAGGCGAAGGCAGGAGGGTCTCTGCTACATAGAGAGTTCAAGGCCAGTCTGGACTACATAAGATCCTGTCTCAAATAAAGAGAGGCAGACAAAGATAGGGGTGGGGTATGGTTGGCTTTGCTTGGACTGCAGAGGTCGAAGGAGATCACTAAAGCAGTTCCAGATGCATCTGTGAAAGTCGCCATGGATAATTAACTAAGGGAGAAAGGCTTACTCACCTGGATATGGCTGACACCTTCCAATAGGTGGAAGCCTAGACAGACTACAAAGAGGGAAGGAGAAAGTCTTGATGGTCCAGGCATTTTTCTCTACCTACCAGACACTGTAGTGAACACTGCTCACTTCATACCACCTGCTCACCACACCGTGATATTCTATCTTGCCTCAGGCCCAAAGTAAACAAAACCATGAGCCCAGACAGATCCATTCTAAGTTGTTTTCTCTCTGGTCTTTGTCACAATGATGAAAAGTTGACTGTCACAGAAAGGGGGGAGGGGGGCAGGGTACGACATGCTCATGGCCACAGGTGAATTGTAACACCAACAAAGACTCTCAAGAGTGAGGCAAGGGCTAGCTGGCTGGAGAGGAAGGCAGGGAATATTTCAAAGAGGGAGTTGTCTTTGAATAAGAAAAATCTCCCTGTGTTGCATTTTTAACTCTAAGTCATAGTAACGTATGCCCACCCACTTGCTTCAACTGTCCTCCACCCCCCAAGTGCTAAATGTCCACTCAAACTGGAGGGGACAGCACATCTATTTTCACTTACCGAAAGGACTAGGAAGGTACTGACCCACTGCTAAGAATCAAGTGTATGAAATGTCCACAGTGCTGGATAAAACCAACTACCAATGTGCTCAGAGCTTTGGAGAAATTCTTCCTTACATTAAAGAAATATTTTCTCAAGAAAATGGCCTGCAGGAATATTCGAGTCCTCTGATGACTGAGAGTAATAAATCTTAATGGGTTAAATGACTTTTAACTATCACTTGATTTATATTCCAATTTTACAGGAAGCTATGGTCCCCACAAGGGGAGGTGGTAATCTATTGTTCCATGGCCACAGGGCAGCCACCAGGTGACCTGCTGTGGCCATGTTGCCTCTTGAATGTATGCCTTTCCCTCTCTGGGTAGAATGAAGACAAATCATTTCAATCCTATCTTTGCAAAACCTAAAAGTTCCTTTCCAACCCAAAGCCATCCAAATGGAAATGTTTGATGCTATAAAAATGCTTCCAAATTTACCATTCCAGAGAAAAGCACATTCTCACTGCTACCTAGACATTACAACCCTATATAATCATAGGTTCCTCCCCAAAACACAGACTTATGGTCTTTTTGTTATTTTCATTCACTCTCTTTCAAATTATCACACACGTTAGGTAATTTCGTCCTCATGTTTGGCAGCATCCACATTTCTTGCATTTCCGCAGATCACCAGAAGATGGCACTGTTGACTCTTCCTTCAATTGTGATATAGAGCGTGGAATTTTGTTTTTAAATTTTCACAAGTTTATAACACTCAGACTGGTCAAAGTCAGTGTCTCCTGAGTGTGAGGCTCCTCAGATCATCACCTCTCAAAAGAGAAAAGTGACACTTTATGAATTTGGACAGAGTGAATTCTACATGCAGAGGTTGGCAGAGGAAGAATGAAAAAATCCATATTTTTTTCCCCTCGCCTTGAGACCACTTCTAGCATCCATCCTGCAGGACCTGAAATAACCATGTAACCAAGTCCAAGTTTGGATGACAGCAGGCAGAAGAGTCATTTACTGGCCCTGTGGTAGAAAAAAATGAACTCTCGGAAGCAGGCACCAAAGAGGCTGCACCTCTAATGACAACTTTGTTCCGACCCCGCACAGTGCACCTGAGAGTGGCAGGTCTAGAAGGTTTGTGGGACCCTGGGCAACATCAGTTTCATTGATAAAGAAGTAAAAGGGATGGGGACCAGAAAGCAACACTAGCATTCTGTTGTATTCTGAAAGTTTTACACCTGAAGTCTCAAGAGGTCTGGGGATGGGATTTCTTGTTCAGAGCTCAAGAATCCTCCGATTCAAATCCCAGACAATTCTGTCTTATTTCTCCAGAACAGAAGGAGAGTGAGCATCTTTTCTTCAATAAGTATGGTTAAGACCCCGCCCCCCACATTGCTAACACGTAAACGGTCTCTTTAAGATCCCTAAACTACTTAAGCAGTTTCTAAAGACAAAATCATCTAAGAAAATGCTGAAATTAAGGAATTATTGAACTAAAAATAAATAAATGTTAAAAACAAACAAATTTAAGGAAGTGAAGCCTCAGAACTTGGCCAAGGTCTTTCCTTTGTTCATTCATTTCAACCATCCATCCTTTCTTCTACCCGGTCCGTATTTATTCGGATCCTAGTGAGTCAGGCATTGTCTGGGGCACTGGGACATTTGCTAAAGGAGACAGGTGAGGCTGTGAGCATTGGAGCTAGGGTGGAGAGGCAGCAAGAGCTGAGGCTGAGTCACACAGGGAGGAGTGTGGACAGGCACGCTGAGTCCTCCCTGAAGATATGGCCTTCGAGCAAAGCTGCACACCGGATACCACTCACATTATGAAGAGTCAGGGACAGTGGGACACCATACAGGGAGGCATTTTGGAAACTGAGTCCTGATGCTAAGGGATCAGAAAGAGGCGAGGCCAGACATGGAGACATCTCCAAGCACAGAATGTGTTTGTCACCTGCAACCTCAGGGCAGGGAGCCACAGAACTTCCCTGAGTGACTCGCAAGCTAGCCTCCCAACAGTTCATCATCCTCTTCACTTCTCGTTCCTGTTCACACAGCACTAGCCTACCACACACCTAAATGTGACGCCCTTTTCTATTTCCTAAGAGACGTCTCCAAGGATGCATACGCTGGCCCTGCTCTGTCATAATTAGCAGACCACTACTCACAACAACTTGCGGTGTCATGTTGCCCACCCCAAATCTGAGAAAAGTCTACGGATACAGAACACTTTAGGAGCTGCCTGCAACACCTTTCTGGTTTGCTGGTGGAAGGTAAGAGAATGAATAAAGGGACTCGGACTAATTCCTTCTTGTAGCCATTCAAATATTCTAAGGTGCACCCAGGTGAGAACCACTCTA